ATCAAAAAAATGGCACTCGATCATCATTGAGATTGGAACATCACGGCCTATCAGCTTATAGTCTCTAAGTGCATGAGTGAGTGTGTCAGCGCCTGTAATGAGAGAAAATAGTAATCTCCCCCAGCGATCATCGCTATTCACGCCCGATTTGTACCACTCACGTCTGTTGACGAATGATGTATCTGAACTATACCCTCGGTCGTGTGCTTTCCATATTAGTGGCCATGCTTATTTATTATTCCTATAGACTTGGGCACGAGCTTATAACCACTGCTTAAGTACGCATTCTTGGCAGCGCCGTTGGGCTCGGCGCCACCATTACTGTCGGGAGCAGCGGAGCATCAAACATGGAATGACACCCCCGGCAGCCGTTTACTCAATTCCGCCATTCGGAAACGTTGCCGGTCTGTACGATGATGCCCTGTGTGTTACAGAGCTTTGGTGGGGAGCTCCCACCACGAAAAACGTGTCGATCTGCCGTGGGCGCGGGCCGGCTCCGGAGCAGCCAGATAGAGCACGCTTTATCGTATTGTTACTGTAGCCGTGAACCGCAATGACAGACCCCAAAATTCGCTGGCGTGGGATCACTTGGTTCGGTCAACTCTGCAGATTAGAGGCCCGCAGAGGATCGATCAGCGACTACAAGATAGCATGGCTACCCAGAACGACCAGCATACAGAGCAGCACTGCTCATTGATTGCTTTAGTGCAGCAAGATGTATGCCCCATTCCGAGCAGAATGTCAATTTTTTTTCTCTTTCTAGATTAGGTCTAGATTGGGTAGCCTCACTACGCTCCTGTGTCGACTATCTGGCCGGTGTGGTACTCGAAGTCCGAGACGGAAGTAGCAATCGCATACAATTTTGAAGAACAATATACCTCGGTGTTTTAGCAACAAATTTGTATGGCATCTTGCAGTTTCTAGAAGCACAACCATTATAAATATGACTGCCGCTGATAGCTCCGAGCGGAGACGGTTTCAGCACGCCCCCAAGAACAGCCCCGCCGCGAGAGCTGGGTTTTCTCCGTACGCGCCCTTTCACAACTTTTTAGGCACCAAGATGGTGATGAATTTGTGACTCTTACTTCTAGTATAACTCAGTCATCAATCAAGACCAAAGAGTCGAGGCGAATCAGACTGGTGCCGACGGCTTGGGCGGCCTTACCGGCGTGTTCGTGAGAGCCCGTCGTCTCCTACCCTGAAGATATCGTCACATCAGTAGAGATGGTCACTGAAACCTCCCAGGCTGTATTGCAGCTGAAGCCAAGCAAGACATCGTGATTTTACAGTTGAGAAACTCCCAAGACCGTTCAGCTTCTCGTGGCGACCCTGTGGATCTCTACATTCCCCTCGCGAGGTTTGTTGACCACGACCGACAAGATACCCGCCTATGCCCTGCAGCTTGCTAACCTACATTGACGTGCTTTCTTAGCAAGAATATGCATGTTTTCCCCGTTTCAAGCTTTTTAGATGAAATTCAGGGCTCTGACAGTATGTGAAAACGTCAAACGCGGTCGCGGATACACCATTTTCTCGATACTGAGTCGCTTCGAGCGAAATTCTGCAGCTCAATGTACAGATCATCTATGCGCTGCCAAGACACCTGACGGGCCTTTCAGACACCGAGAGATAGCCAAGGCATAAATAAAAAAGTCATCGAGTGAATGATCAATCCCTACTCCGCAATGGCCATGACGCGTGGTATTAGTTTCAGCAAGAGAGTGAGCTTTCAACCAAATTTGCAGCTGCCCATATACCGCGCAGCTGCTGCTCTTCCTCTCCGAGCGGGATCCCAGCCTGGGTCGTGATATTTTGGAGACATGCCAGCATGGCTTGCTGTTGTGCAGAGTGTGTAATGTCCTTTGCAATATGCAGAGCTGAGGCAATGACGATCGGGTCCCACTGCTCAGGAAATTCATTCGATGTGATAATGCCTGCAATAGCCCTTGCATGCCAATTCGCCGACGTCAAATGCTGGCGTCGGCCTGGCATGCTGAGAAGTCTAGGCTTGTGATGCAGCAGGAGAAGGGCAGTGGTGTGGTAAAAGGTAGCTGCCTGCACGGCAATTGCGCTCGAGAACAAATGTATCGGGAATGAGGCGGCATTCATGGGATCAATCTGGCTTCTCTCGATGCTGCCGACATCGACTAGCGACTGAAACTCCACAGGCCGCGCATCGTACCATGACTGGATGCGCAGCCAGAGGGTCTGCCAATCAGGAGGAGCTCTGGGCATGAGAACTGCGCCAGGACTGCTGGAGCTGGCACGCGCTGCTTCTGTAGCTGCGGCACTGGAGCGGTAGACGAAGTGAAGACATGATGTGAGATGGTAGAGCGCCCAGTTGTAGGCTGAAAGTAGCACCGATTTTCCTTCAGAGCCAGGTTCTGGCCGCAAAAGGAAAAAGCTCGACTCTGTCGCTGGCGGGGTTGAGGTCAAAATCGAGGCTGCTAAATCTGTGCGCCCAGTCAGACATCATGTGGTAGCGGAAAAAGACAAATTGACGCACCAATACGAGATAGCTGCTGTATCAGAGTTCTTAAAGGTTCCTCGACGGCGGTGCAGGTGCCGTGTTGAAAGCGGAATTGTCTCCAAGCGAGAGGGCCTGCGCAAAGAGTTTCCGTAAGGTGGATGAGCGCATCCGCGACATATTCCAGCTCTAGACATGCTTTTAACCGGGTATGAGCTTCTTGTGTATGAGGTTTGTTGAACCGGCCCAGGAGATGTGATGATGCCAATTCGGTGAGAAGAATCCGTATAAGCTCATGCTCCTGGGCCATTCTCATCATGGCAACGCCGAATTTGCTGTTAGGATCGCCGGCCTCTAGCCACGGCGCAGTGCGGTAACGAAACTGCCGTAGCAACGCAATGTCTCGCTGAGATGCTTCTGGAAGCTCAGTGTCAAAATAAGAATCCCAGCTTGAGATGGCTGCCGGAGAGTTTGTTGCGGGCTGTGAAGCGGGCTGCTGCCAACGCACGCTACACCGAGGAGGCTGCCTTGCTGATGCCACTTTACAATCCTCTGAGCTTGGTTGCGCATCGGCTGAAGAGGGTTTTTCGTCAATGAACTGGAGAAAAACAAAAACAGAATCAGCACATGAATAATGAGTTTAGAGTAAATGGAGGTCCTAACATACCGTGATTTCTGTGTATGTACCAGATCGAGGATCTGGAGTGATGACGTATTTGCAGACAACCTTTCTTGACTCGCAGCTGGCGCACTGCGGTTTCTTTTCATCACCTAACGATGGTATTAGAGAGTTGAATCACAGAAATAGGACAATCTGAGCGACAGTCGATACATTTTCGACGTCGCTGGCGACAAGCGACGCATCCAGTCCTGACTCTGCGCTTCTCCGGCGGCGTGTTGCGCGCCACCGGCATTCTGGTGTTGCCTATTAGGCCTCCAAGCGTTTTCTAATGCTATCTCCACGGCTTTGAGCATGGATCGATGGCCGGTAGCCCGGCATGACAGCTCGAAACGTTGGCACGGTTTCTAGTGTGATGGATATGGGTTTGAGGTGGTGCCGTGGACGAATTACGCGAGACTCCACTGAATAAGCCACTATTTAGTGACTTATTAGCGATGGAGCCAGTTCAATTTAGCGGGGGTTAGCGGCAATGCAGAAAAGTTAATACAAGGCAATCAAATCAGCACAGCGGTAGTCCAAGAATTATCAGATTAATTGCAGTAGTGCGCTAAAGAAAACAAATGGCTATTTTTCGTAGTGTAAGTTCCCTCGAGTAATTACGTGTTGCTTTCCTCATTACACATGCTCGATCACGGCAACAGACCCTGCCTTGTCGTGCACCATGCCCTGGCTCTCGAGCAGCGCCGTGAGGCCAACCTCTTGCTGAGACTCGTGCAAGAGCTGAGCATCTCTCGCGCCAGTGTGACTGTTGAATACGCGATCCATCTCCTCAAGACTCACATTCTTGGTTTCCGGAAGGCAGAGCCAGACCCACACGGCGCCAGCGGCCAGGAAGACGGCAAAGAAGATGTAGGTGCCCCAAGCCCAGGCCTCTAGCATCGGCGGAAAGTAAAAGGCAATGGCAAAGTTGTTGAGCCAGTTACTAAAGGCGCCAATGGAGCTGCCCTTTGCGCGAATGGAAAGGGGAAAGATTTCGGAGACGAGAGTCCAGGAAACCGGGCCCCAGGTCGCGCCAAAACCAGCGATGTATACCCAGATGAGCGCTGGCGAAATGTCAGCTTGATACCAGCGTCAAGAATTGAGAAATATGCAAATGACGTACCGACAGCGGCCCAACCTGCTGCACTGTGTGATGGCCAGTCATGCCTAAACTTGGCCACAATAACACCTACGGTGACCATAGCAATGCCCATGACTATTGACCCGACGATCAACATTGGCTTTCGGCCAACTCGGTCAATAATAAACTACAGCCATTGATTAGCAAAGCACACCACAGAAACTCCATACTCGGATCACAAAGGGCACCTACCATTGCCGGGATCGTGCTGGCCATGAACACTACGCCGGTGACACCCGTCGCCAGCAACGCATTTGTTCCAGAAGTCAAACCCAGACTCTGGAAGATGTTTGTAGCGTAATAAATGATTGCATCAATCCCACTCCACTGTTGGGCCGCCATGACCAGAAATCCAGTCGCAATGCGTTTAAAATTATCGCGAGTTCGGAAACAGTTGATGTATTGAGCAATTTGCTCCTTGAAAGCATTTTGTCGACTCGCATCAGCCATTTTCGGAAAGTCTCGGGCGAAAGCTTTCTTTTCAAAGACAGATTCCGCTTTGATTTCTAAGAATTCAACCTGGACCACTTTGTCATCGACTGGCAATTTTCTCATCCATGCCAGCGTCGCTTTAGCCTCCTCATCCCGTCCCACTTTGACCAGCCATCGAGGAGAGTAGGGCATGAACCAGATGCCAATTGCCAAAGCGGCTGCAGGGATACCTTGAATGATGGAAGGAAGCCTCCATGACAGATCTGACTGGGAGTCACCGGTGCCGCCAATGTAGTTGCTGCCGTAGCCGATCCAGAACGAGAGCATGATTCCGAGAATAGTCGCGAACTGGTAAAATGAGACGAGGAAGCCACGCATCTCGGGAAGCGAAAGCTCAGCATTATACAGCGGCGCAACACCACTGAAGATTCCGACGCCGACACCGGTGAAGAAGCGGCCGGCATAAAGCAGAGACGGCGCGCCAGCCTTGGCACCAAGGTAGAGATAGCTGCCCAGGATGACCCAGAGACAAGCAACAAACATTGTACGCTTTCTGGAAATAAGTTCACTCAGAATTCCAGCGGAAAGAGAGCCTAGAATACCTCCGAGCTGGAGGATAGAAGTCAACCAGCCTGTGGCAGAGGAGGACTGGACGACCGAGGGGAAATTGGAGGTGAAGCGTGTCATGACAAGGGACTGGCCCAGGACGCCTTGCTGGTAGCCATACTCGAAGCCACCGAGGCTGATACAGAGATTAGACGAGAGGTCAGGGTGGGACAAATTGACCGGAGCAGATACTCACGAAGCAAAGAGCGCGATGAAAACAACCTTGGGATTTGAGCGTATGGACTGCCATAACGTTTTCTTGCCCGTAAAGGCCCTCTGAGCAGACTCCATGGTGAGTTGACAATCGAACCAATCTAGTGTGGCGTTGTTGAAGATTTATAGTAGCATTAGAGAGAGCAAAAGGTTCAATCCGCAACGGTCAAGCCAAGAGCTGATATATATATGTGTAAATATGAAATCCAACCCCCGGATTCCTCCACACCCCAGGTTTATTGATCCCCAGAAAATACCCCCAGCTCAGAAATCCTGAACCGCGCATGACCATGAAAAAAAAGAAGCTGGAATATTAATTATGAGCCCAGATCAGTCGATATTACGCGCCGCTAAGCCAGATTGGGGGGGCCGTAGCCTACACCCCGCCCTTTCGGGACGAGTGTGGCTTTTTTTTCAGAGCTCTTTCAACTTGTTTTCTGAGTCGCTGCTATTCATTGTCGAAACATTTCATGGGGTGGCTTTTTCATGAAATTTTCCTCACTAGCTCGGACGATTTCTACCGCAAAAGGGCTGACGAGGCGGGCGACAGCGGCAATGACGACGCCAAAGCAACGGCATGCATGCTGCTGATCCTCGACAATGGATGAACCGGCTCAGGAGCCAAGCCCAGCAGCGCAGGAGATTTCGTTTCTGTCGCCCGAGTCCTTTTCCACCCTTGACGAATATTCCAAAAACCCACGGTTTATCGAATTACAGGAAGAATTACGCGGCGTTTTATTTGCGCGTGCCTCTGGCGAGAATCTGAGCCTCGATGCCGTCCCTGATCAACATGCTGGCGACGCCGAGGACGCCGAGCAGCAGCAACAGCAACAGCAGCAGCAGCAACAGCAGTCAGAGCACAAACGCGGCTTCGACTTTGGCCGAGTCTGCATACCCAAAATCAAGCTCATCGACTATCTCAAGAACTGGATCATCGAGTGCGCCCCGTACCTCGACAAGTTTGACCACGCGCGGCACTTTGCCATGCGCGTGCCCGTCATGGCCGAGAGCTCGCCCGCGCTCTTCTACGCCGTGCTCGCCTTTTCCGCGCGGCAGACGGAGCGCAAGGCCAGGTCCGACCGCAACTACGACAGCCTGGAGCTGTACCAAGAGTCCATCCGGCTGCTCATCGCGCCGGGCATGCAGGCCAAAAAGGACTCCAACATGCTGGTGACGGCGTGCATACTCGCCGTCATGGAGCTCATGTCGGGCAGCCCGCGCAACTGGAGACGCCACATTGAGGGGTGCGCGGCGCTGTTTGACCTGTTCCAGGTGAATGGCTTCTCGGGCGGCGTGCTGCAGGCCGTGTTTTGGTGCTACGCGCGCATGGAAGTCTGCGGCGCCATCATTTCCGCCGGCGCCGAGAGCACCGTGCTCGCGCTGCGCAACTGGGCGCCCTCGGTTCCTCCTGGCCGTCGTGCTCCTGCAGGTGCTGAGGCTGATGCATATCATGTGCGGAATGCCTTTTATCAGAGCAGCTTGCAGGACAGCGACATGCATGCGAATTGGGCCGTGTATCTCTGCGCCAAGGCCTGCGATTTGCTCTACAGGCACACGCGAGCAACAGAGCTGCAGGAGCCCGATCGGCAGGATACGAGACCATTCAGAGCGCAGTGGATTTCTCTTTGGGAAGAGCTCCAATTCTGGTACAGCACAAGATCGGATATTTCGCTGCCGACGCTCACCTCGGAAGACAATGGACAGACTTTTCCCACCATTCTATTTGCGCACTGGCCCGCGATATCCTCCAACCAGGTATACCATGCCACTTGTCTCATCATGCTCGACATGCGGCCGCGGCTCGAGTCTGTTTCTTCGCCAGAGGGCTCCGCAGTGTGGCATGCACGCCGCGTGTGCGGCATCTCTTTGACGAATCCGCACCGCGCCAGCCTCATCAACGCCATCCAGCCGCTTTATCTAGCTGGCAGGCTGCTTACACATACCGCAGAGCACATCGCCGTAGGGAAACTGTTCAAAATCATCGAGGAGACGACGGGCTGGGGCGCGCTGTGGAGGCTGCGCGATCTGGAGATTGTTTGGGGATATGTGCCCGGCGAAATCATGGCCGCAATGGGCTGATGCTCATCAACAAACGTGTCGCAAAACAGCTCAACGGGTCTATCTCTCACTCCGGCAGCCTAGTTTCTCAAGAATGAAGCAGAATTTGTGCTGTAATCTTGTCAGGTAATTATGTGCACCGTGGTGCGATTGTGTCCTTTGTGTATCACGGCAAATGCCAGCGATGTAAAAGCCGAGAATATCCCACACAGACACAGGACCCGACAGGACGATTGTATATCCTGTTTGAACTGACATGTTGAACTTAATTGCCATGTTGAACTTATCCAAGCATGACGCCTTCAGTCGCACGCTCTTCTACGTAACTTGCGAGGTTCCTGTGCTACAGTCACTGAACCAAAGTTCCGCTTAGTCAGTACGAGCGCCACTAAAGATCCAGACTTTAATTATTACAAACAATAAGAACTATAATTAATAAAATAATAGCCTAATATACTAGCTTATACCCTAATCTTAAATTTTTTTAAGTACTAGTAGCTTATAATAATTAATAATATAACCTAGTTTTCTTTATAAAAATATATAACTTTAACTACCTTACTTAACCCTTTATTAGCTATAATCTAACCTTAGTAAATAAAATACCTCTTCTAATAAGGGTATAAAAAAGTATCTTATATAGATAAAAAAAGCTATTTCTCTACCCTTTTATAAGTCCCCTATACTCCTTATAAATCTAGTGACTTAGGACTTAAGGTGCTGGCGGCTGCTGTACCGGCCGCTATACGGCTGCTCTGGCCACTGTACGGCCACTGCACGGCTGCTGTACGGCTGCTGTAGCCACTGTACGGCTGCTGTACTGGCTGTACAGACAGGGGATAAACTGGTACTTTTGCTGTGGCCCGCCATGACCCACCGTGGCCAGCCCTGTGGGTTCTCTTCGATGTATCCCGAGTCACCAGTCACCAGTACTAAAAAAAACTCAAGATCAGGGCATAATTAGTAAAGCGGAAACAGATTGCTTTGTCCTGTGAAAGAGGCTCGGCCCTCCCGCCCTCGCACATCCCTACTGCCCTACTGAGAGGGCACTGCCGGTCGAGAACAAGACTTGGGAGAAGCAGCGATTCGGCAAGGTGTCTGGCAATCGTTTCCGCGTCGTCATTCGTGGTCTGGGCCGTTTTGCCGTCTTTCGTGCATTCGCTGTTTGTTAAATAGCGAAATTGGCTCTTTTGCCAGAAGTGTATTTTCGGCTCATCGCGTGTTTCGAATCATTTGCAGCGCACCTTCGAACCGCGGGTGGCATTCGCCTGCAAACACGACACATAACACTTATATAGGAGCAGGGCTGCCACATACTCAGGGAAAATTTGATGTAATTCATGAAATCGAATGAAGAAACAAACTAGAAAAACACTCGCACGAAAATTGTCGGCTAGTTTTTCTTCTGCAATCCATCGATGCATTGAATTATTTCCTGGGTTGCGGCTTTCCAACCCAACGTTTGGGCACAGTCGAAGTAGGAGCTGAGGCAAGATCCTCTTTTGTCACTCCCAAAGATATCGCAGTGTTCATAAACTTGCTGGGTCTTCAACGCATCCAGCATCTCCTCATCAGGGACCGGCAGAGACCCTCCCAGATTCTCCTCAATAAAAGGGATATAGCTGCCCACTCGTGTATAACTCGCGGGAGCCAGGTTGCAGTGGTGGCCGCCTTCCTCCTTTGGAACCCATGACGAGATACCGATGACCTGTTGCGTTTTCTCATCGACGAGAGGGCCACCGCTATCCCCTTTGCATACAGTCTTGCCATTCCCACCAGCACATATTGTAGTGTCATTCGCCTTTGGGCAGTCCTTGCGTGCCTGAATAGGAATTACAACCTTGCTAAGCATATCAACCTTGAAGCCGTTTTCGTGTTGTCGGCCCCTGTGCTCACTAATTAGTGTCGTCCTTGGTAGAGCCAAGCTTCATGTTGGGACTTACCAGCCTGCAGCGACTGCAGTGGAATTAACTGCGGGATCATGCCCGTCTGCAGGAAGAGTGGCAAAGCCGATATGGATCGTGTCGTTCTTCTCAATTGGTTGGAGTAATTTGAGGATGCCAATATCATGCACAGGAATTGCTTCCTCGTCGGTTTCATATAGCAAGTCGTAATCAGGGTGCGTCTTTTTCGAGGCCACGAGTGACCCTACTCCGCCCACCAATCTATTCTATAGAATAATTAGTTTCATCTAAGTTTTACTGTTTTACTAGACGTACAAAGGTAGTAGTGTCCTAGGGCCCAAGCGGGGATAGACTTACCAGTGAGCCTGCCTTGACATAGGAGCTTCCCTTGACGCAATGACCAGCAGTAAGAACAGTGGTGCTGTCTAATAAGCTGCCACCGCAGAATTGTATGCCATCTTGATTGCGAATGCTGACTAGGAATGGGAAGTCACCAATATTGGCGTCCTCTCCGCCAACGATTCGCTTGTCAATAGTTGCTGCCGCTGCCAAAGTAGCAGAAATTGCGACAGCTAGCATAGTAGCTCCTTTACGTGCCATTGTAACGACAGGAAAGAATAATGAATGGACAATAATGATTTTTGCAGAAAAGTGAGGCGCAGTGTGTACAGAGCAAGTGTTCCTTATGCACAGACTCTACCGCAATGACATTCATGAGCAGAGTTGCGATATTTATCTTCTCATTTCTTATACTGCACCAAAGGTATATTTGCAATCAGCTATTAGACGGTGGGCGAAGCGATGCTCCAAGCGATGCTCCAAGCGAGCATGGGTATTGATGACTCGTGAGCAAATTACCTATACTTACGCTCCTATGCGCGTCTTGGGCTTAGAGCATCCGGGTATACGCATACTCAACTATCGTAGGACCCATGAACCCTGAAGACACATGGGAAGCGATGCTGTGGACTCTTGTACATGGTAGGTCATCGGAAATCCGTAGACTTGTCGGATTCCAAGTGGCATCCTTGGCGATCCCTGACATATTGCTCCATATCTCCACAAACGAGCAACTCATGCACTCTGAGAGTTCATGCAAATGGCCGGGTGAACAGCAGCCGTGAATATTGATTGTTTTCGGCAACAGACGCATGGATTTACCTGCCTGGTGGTTGTCCTGACTAGGGTGTAACTAAATTGCGGACTGTGTGGGAATCGTCGGTGAAAGCCGGACTGAAAATTGTACTGTACATACATATAGCATAACAGACAAGACAGGGAACCTGTTCCTATGTACAAGCATAATATTTATGTATGTACTACCAACGTAATCCGCTTGCGCTGCATCAGGTAGTGGACCAGTAACATGAACACGGTGCAGCTGATTATACCCAAATCTGATATCCATGACATCATGGCAATACTATCCTCTCTTAGCTTAAGTGTTTTCTACACATTATATCGGTTAAGAATATATACCACCCGACCATTACTTACCTACATAGCTAGCTACTGCTTTTACCTAATTAGATATATATATTCTATAAGTTGATATAATCTTAACCCTAACCCTAATAAAGACCAATAATAACTCTACTATAACTCTACTCTAATTAAACCTAAAATAGTAAAAGTACTAGTTAGGTTAGGTTAATTATATAAAATAATTAGGCTAGGTTAGGTATAGTGCCTTTTTAAAAGTAATACTAAAAGTTTAAAATTAATCTACTTTCTAATATTAAATATTATTATTTACTTAGATAACTAGAAATTAGTTATTAAATATAATAAAATATTAATTTACCTTAGGAATATAATACATTTAATTAAAACTAGATAATTATTTTATTTAATTAATTATAATTATTTTTAAAATCTTTATAAAATTAAAAAAGACCTATTTTTATAAGTTTAGATAATTAGTTAAATAAAAATATTTTATAATATTAAAATTAGATATTATAAAGTTTAACTTATTAATTATTAAATAAATTTTAATTAATAATTTTAAGCTAATTTTACTTCTATATAAATACTATTAAAGTATTAGAGTAGCTTTTTTTAGAGAAATATTACTATCTAAAAAGAGCTCACGGCTTTTCTGTCACCGCTTTTGGTAGCAGATGCCACCTCCTATTGTGGTTGTGGTGCCGAGAATCTGGCGCCGCTTTTAGGACCAAGAACGTAACAGATATTGTGGAGCGCCGGCTCCACCATTTCAAAGTACCTGCTTTGTACCTGCAGGCGCCATTAGCTGCCTTGCCTACGTCTTGGAAGCACCCGTTTATCACCAGTCAACTGGGCAGTCATACCCACCAAGTATGGCGGCCAGAAGGGAAACCTACTTAAACTGGGCTCCCAGCGTATGACTTTTCACATTCTGCTCTTTCTTCTTCAGTTTTTCTTTTCTTTAATACAACGTAGGCGGGCTTCGTCTGAGCGCTACTAACAATTACAAGCCACCAAACATGTCAGACAACGAATCTTATACGGACGAACTATTCGATCGCGAAGATGTTGGCATCTCAGACGCTGAAACGGATCTAACATCGACAAACCTTTCGCGAGACGGAAATTTTGATGCGGAGAAAGCTATCGAGTGCGACGATGCTGATATCGAAGACTTGGGGCATCTCTTCGGCGGTAATGCTCTTCCGCCCGATTATTACCAAAGCACAGTTGAGGATTTCAACGACGACAAATTCAGAAGTCGAAACTACAGTGAAGGAACAAAGATTTTGAAGCTCATCTGTGAGAACCTTTGGAGAGAGTAAGTACTAAGTTGATCTTGGGTCGCCCGCCGCTAAGCATTGCACCTTCTGCGCGCAGGTTCTGTACAAAAGTTCTTCAACGCGACGCGCAAAAATGCTTTGAGTGCATTCACGAAGAATTTTCAATACGCTTGCCCTACAAATTTCTTGAATGGAGACTCAATCAAAAGGTAGGCAAGGATGGCAGAAGACTGAAAGGAGTTCAAAAGTTCAGCTCTTTAGATACATATTGGAAAGTGTTCCGCCTCGCTTTCCAAGATGCCGTCGGAGAGAAGCTTGACCATCGGCTAGGTCATAGTATGCAGAATGTATGACTGACACCCCCTTGGCCGGCAACATTAAGCGTGCACTGATATCACAAATCACAGGCTCTTCGGAAACTGGCTGAACAATACAAACTGAGCTATGAAAAACGCATGAATCGGTGCATGTCTATCGAGGATCTGAAAGAGCAAAACCAAACGACCATTGCCACGACGGAAAAAACTTTCAAGCTTGGCGAGATGCGAGTGCTCGCTGTATTGTATACTCTCCTGCTATCGCCGGCTGGAGCTCGACCAATGTCTATACTGAAGATGACATTTGGAGATTTGTCTTTTGCTAAGGCACGAGATCCTGAGGGTGGACCAGCGCAAATTCTGATTCGATTTTCTCTACGATTTACGAAGACATGGCTCGGCCCTAAAGCTACGTAAGGGATTTTTCTTAGAACGGTTCTTTGCTTGTGAAACTGACCTTGCTGGTAGGAAAACCCACCCTCTGCCTGAGCATTTTCTTGGTTCATCGTTCCTTCTTAGTACCCATGTCTTTTTATTGGGGCTGATATTCCATCATCGCGCATTTCGAGCGCCTGACCTCACATCACCTGAGCAACTGGACTTACTTGAGATTCATCCAGGAGAGCGGGAGCTGAGTCTTCCGTTGAAAAAGGATATCCAAGGCGTCTTCCTATTTCGCAAGATTATCAAGACGGTGACTGGATACGAGATGTCCGCGGAACAGATTCCTTACAGTGTGGTCAGCAGAATGTTACGAATAATTGGGGAGATATTGGGGCGCGAGCACCCTACCATCTCTTACAGTCTTCGCTACAACGCAGGAAACGCACTTGATCGAAGCCGTACGTCTAAATTTCCCTGGTATGCTTTTGATGCTAAACTATAAATAGCGCACGTCAGCGATGCACTGCGAAACTTGATCCTCGGTCATGCGGAGTCCAGAACTTTTCAGAATCACTATCTTGGCCGCGAGATTGCTGTAGATACATCAGCCATCGTCCAAGGGCTGGAGCCAAAGCAGTCCATGATGATACAGGCAACTAGCTTGGGCCATTCAGCGAGCAAGCGACGACCAAGACACCTCACAGATGAACAACTCCGGGAGATAAATTCACATCCTGCGGTCGTACGGCTGCAAAAAGAAGTACAACAACATGTACGGGGTTCCGAAGAATGCAGCAAAGCCATCAAAGAATTAGGAAAGGTGAAGTTTAGGCTTCGAAACGAAGAGAGGGATAAAATGCGCGACGAATGGACGGCTGAACAGGCTGTGGACGACATTCAGCGACAGCTGCATGGAATTGGCTTCAAACCGCCAGCTGAGAACGCCTCAACCACCTCTCAAGGACAAGAACAAAAGCGATTAACTGAAGCATTGAATGTTCCGCCTTCTAAAAAGGTCGAAGAATACTTTCCGCAGAGAAATGAAGCCATTTCTGCAATCATGGCCTACTGCCGGGTCTACGAAGGGCCCCCCTCCCAACGGCATCGTGCAGAACCTGTCGAGCCGATTCAGCAAGCTAATGATGTTGGGTCAAAAAATGAAACGCTGAAAGATGTGTTGTTGAAGTCCGTTATGGTAGATGACGCCGTCAAACGACCACGGAAGTGCTTCGTGTGTTGTGGCAACGCACTTCGTCGCGACTTTAATGATTCGGGGTTCTTGACTCTTACCGCAGATTTCTACTCTTCATCGGACTTGAACAAACACTTTCGTCGCTTTCATCTTCAAAATCTGCAAGAGGGCCAAACAATAGAGTGCCCTGCTTGCTCAGTTCTACTTGAGCACAAGCAAGAGTTTTTGACTCACGCGCAAGTCGTTCACGGCATTCATCTGCGAGTTGGCAACAGCTATGAGGCTGACAGCCAAAAAAGAAATGGAGGCATTGGCTGTGACAACGACCGTCGCGGCAGAAAACGTGAAGCTGAGAGCTCGACCCTCGTGGCTCAGGACCACAGCCGAAACTCCAGAAACTCCGCTAATCATACGGACCGAAGCAGCCACAATACAAATAAGCGACAGAGACTGGACTGTGACCCACCAAGGGAAGTCAGGTCAATCAGCCGCCGGGATAATGAGCAGCGCGGCAGAAAACGTCAAGCAGAGAAGTGGACTCCGACGACTCAGAACGACAGTCTGGGTCCCACGACTTCCGCTCGTCGTACGGATAGGAGTGGTCACCGGGCAAATAAGCGACAGAGACTGGATTGCGACCCACCGAGGGAAGTCAGGTCAATCAGCCGCCGTACAGAGCATGATGTGAAAAGCTGCCCGGCAACGACAGAGGCCAATGACGTGGATGATGGAAACAACAGACTGAGCAAGCGACAGAAGCGTACAAGCTACCTTGCACCCAAGGCTCTGCAGCCAAAATTTATGGAAGGAGACTCACACACTGTGCTGTCCGACGACAGCTTAGCACGGTCGTCTCGCCACCCATCAAAACGCGCCAGCATGGACGAAAATGTAAGTTGAAGCTCCATCTTCCTCAAAAATGGATTGCGCAACAGTGGCAACATGACTAAGACACAGTAGCGACCTAATCCGAGAAGACGGACTGTTGGGCGCCCGCGCGCTGGTTTGACTCGGCGAGAATTCTCTCATGCTGACACTGAAAACCCAATTGAGGCAACCAGTGATAGCGACAGGGCAAGAGCTGCCAGGCGATACCAGCCTTCTATCAGTCTCAGTACTGAGTCTTCAGACTACGATACCCGAAGAGCGACAACAGGCAACTCTACAATGCCGGACCCAGTACAGACAAAAGGGGGACGTACACGGATGGCATTTACTCATGAGCAAAATACGTTTCTCATACAATTGAGGAATACAGAGTTGGCGGGCCGAAGACTCTCATGGACGGAGATCCACCAGCGTTTTTGCAAGAAGTATCCAGAGCGCTCGAAGAACACTTTACAGGTGCATTATTCTACGAAACTCCGCTCAGTAGCTAAGTAGTACTATAATCAAGCTTCATTGAATGAATAGATCATGGGCAAATATCAATGGAGAGGGCTCTGTGTGCACTGTGCAGTCTGTTATTTCGTTAAAACCCTATTACCGAATTTTAAGGCAACTATTTCGTTTGAGATATTTACTACTTTTCGGCATGCAGCATGCTGTATCTTTGCACGATGTAAAAGCCCTCAACTGACGACTGTCTGTGTGGCTCTTTTCGGCCGCTAGCCCTCATCCGAATGCCCAAGCCGAAGTGTGTGCCGCGCGCAGGCACCGGCAATAGCGCGGTCTACTACTACACACGAGGCGCCAGAAACAGGTGGCGCTGTTCTGGTTGCTGCAAACTTTTGAGGTTTCTTTGCAACAGACCACGTAGGTATCTATTATTGCAAGCCATCCTTTTTGGCTGTTTATTGCAGTGTGGGAGGGACAGAACAAAAATTAGGCGTTGGCGAGCTGATGAACGAGAAAGTGGCCATGCCAGGTCGCTGTAATCAATGGGACCGACTCGATGCGTCAGCGAGTGATGGGCGGAAAGTAATTGCTTCATATAGTGATTTACGCGAACTTCGTGCGTCTCACTCCTTCGGCGAGTACAGCAGCGAAAAGTGGCTGCTCCAAGCAATTATCTTGCCAATCACGATCGATGTAGTACTGTACCGATTTCGCATCTTCAGGGCCGATGGTTGGCAATTGTTGTACCATGTTCAGGCTCTGTGCTACGCTCTATGAATGCTACTTAGCCCAAAAAGGCTCGGGGTAGCTCCGGGAGGCTCCGCGTGGCTCCGGGAAGCTCCGTTTGGCTCAGGGAGGCTTCCTGTGGCTCACGGAATGCTCTCGGTGGCTCAGGGAGGCTCATGGGGGCTCAGGGAGGGCTCATGGGGGCTCAGCGAAACTGAGCTGCAGTACCTCAGTGAAGCTCGGCCGCTAAGGTCAGTGGGGGCAATGCCCAAGCTCGAGGCAGCCTGGGCATCCGGCATTAGTAAGCCGGCCGAGTTAAGCGATTCGCAGACTAGCAGTCAGCTGTGTTTACCGGTAGGTACGCAAAAGTTAGGCACAGAGTTAATAATACAATGGTAGCAAATTTAGTTCATCCAGCTGGTCGAATTATTATCAATTAGTAATGATGAAATGACTGTTCGTCGCCGTAGAATAGTGCTACGGCTAAAATAAGGCTTTACTGACGATTGACTCAATTCTCAGTTGAGCGCGAGTGCCCATCACAGTTTGGCATGAAACTGTCCTTCCGACAATGAGAATGCAATTCGTCGATTCTTTTTATAAAAACTTAAACTATCCTTATGGGACAACGGCACGATCTTTTTCTGTCACATCGCTGCTTCTATCTTTCTCTACGAAATCTGTCGGTTTTCTCTTCACTACTGGGGGGTATACTTTGTGCTGCCGATGATGTCAGCCTCCTTGTCTTGACCAGAAAAAATGTTACTTCTCTCACCAGGATCCCAGCAGCTGGGGGGAAGCTTTGCTCCTCCGTAGAGCAATACATATAATGCCTATTTTTCCATCGCACGAGGACGTACATATCAGCGTCATAGAGCCGGCTTATTCTATTTGACCGCTTCATCAGACCCATGGTTGATCTGACAAAGTTGTCCCTTGTTCTGTCTCTTTTCTGCATCGGATGCACAACCGGTTGTTCCATTGTATGCCTTTTTTGATAGTCTTGAACAGATTTCCTCGCCATCACCAGGGTTTCGTTTGGTCATATACTTATGCTAGATGGTGTCTTGAGCTAGATATTGATGCCTGGCCTTCAGCACTCTACCTAACTTTATCATGGCGACGCCAGAAACTGGCCAGTGTGCAAGCACAAGACAGCTACCGGCGTTGAAAACTAGTGTACTGGCCCTAGTTTACTCTGTTATGATAAGATCAGCTTTAGGCGATGTAGGTAAATATCTCTTTTTGGAATGAGAACTATTGGCCGAAAAGTACGGCATTTGGCAATTAGCAAAAAAGC